TTGTGATCTCTCTGTCAAATAAATAAATAAAATCTTTAAAAAAAAAAAAAAAAAATATGTGTGAAGTACAACAATGAAGTTTTTAATCACAACAAATACATATTAAAGGAAACCATACCACCTGTGTTTGATAGACATGTTAATCCACCCTGAATGAGGAAGACAGCAAAATAACATAACAAGAAAAGAAGGAAAACGAAGCAGTAATTCACTGCTATTGAAACCTTAAAGGAGAAATTCTTTAATAATAGTGTTGCTCTCACTTTAACTACTTTTGTATACTAGTTTTTGTATACTAGTTTTGTACTTTTGTATACTAGTTCTAGACAAGGTAGAATCAATTCTTAATTTTTATCTCTCTTGTGTGTAGTAATACAATACTTTAACTTCAGAAAAGTTTAAAAAACTTTGTTTTGTTATAGAATTAAAAAAATAGAAATCTCTGTAAATATTTGAATTTGTAGGGGTGCCTGGGTGGCTCAATCCTAAAGTTTCTGCCTTCAGCTCGGGTCATAATCTCAGGGTCCTGGGATTGAACCCCACATTGAGCTCTCTGCTTGTCAGAGACTCCTGCTTCTCCCTCTCCCACTCCCATTTGTGTACCCCTCATCAAATAAATAAGTAAAATCTTTAAAAATTACTTGAATTTGTAATTTTGGGAAAAAATCAGCATATGGCTGTGGGTCTATTTTCCTGAAAAGCTGGGGAATATTCCCCCCCCCATTTTATTTTATTTTTACTTTATTTTATTTCTTTTCAGTGTTCCAGCATTCGTTGTTTATGCACCACACCCAGTATTCTGTATTTTTTCCCTAAACTGAATGCTTCCTTCTTTCTTTTTATTCTTTAATCTTAGCTGGAATATCAAGAATTCTAACTTTGCTTCCTGCTGGAAGATGGCCAGTAAGACAATCTGAGTCATAAAAGAGAGGAATTGTTAATAGCTTTTTCTTGCCTAAATACATGTTCCTTGCCTCCTGCTGAGACTTCTCATTGTTTCTTGTCTCACTTCAGCATATATTCGGGGTACATCTGTTTGATTTGATCAGTATGAACTCAAAGAGAATGGAATTAATACTTAAAGATGATAAGAAGGGGAAGCTAGTTTTATTTTTAATAAGTCAGATTCTCTTAAATTAAGTCATAAGTGAGGCTCTCGCTGTAAGTTTCTGTTTGTTGTAGTAAATTATCATGACATATGCAACTTAATTTTTTTTTCCTGCTTACACAGAGATGATAATAGATAAAATCTTCCCCATCATCTCACATGCTGCCAAAAATATGTCCCTGTGGTTCTCTACTGCTTACAAGAACCTTGTCAGCCTGGCATCTCAGCCAGCAATTTAATCAGACAAATTTTTCCTATTCAGCAGGAGTCATTCGAGCCAGCCAGTATGCTCATGCGGGACCTCTCCATTCACCCGGAACCACCTTCCCTCCTCCTCTCCAGATGTGCAAATGACGCTCACTCTCCAGAACCTTGGTACAAACCCATTGTATATGAAGCCTCTTACTTCAGCAAGCATTGAACTTTATTCACTCAGACTTTTTAAAAAATTGTTATTTTTTAAAAATTTCTTTGCAGTGTTCCAGAATTCATTGTTTATGTTTGGTAAGGTATGGCCCCGCAGAATTTTCAGAGGCAGTGCTGAGGATCATATGCTGCCACTTGGGAGTCTATAGGTCAGTTCAAATTCTGGATTTCTACTTATTAGTTCTTTAGACAGAAAGCTAGAACCTAATAGTTTTGATTTTCTGTTTTTTTTTTTTTTTTAAAGATTTTCTATATTTATTTGAAAGAGAGATAGAGCACAAGCAGGGGGAGGGGGAGGCAGAGGGAGAAGCAGGCTTCCTGCTGAGCAGGAAGCTCCATGTGGGGATCAATCCCAGGATCCTGGGATCATGATGAGAGCTGAAGGCCGTCGCTTAACCAACTGAGACACCCAGGACCCCGATTCTCTGTGTTTTTTTTTCTAAAATGTTTCTAAGAATATTTATATTACAGCATTTTGTAGTTCTCTCCTCCCATGGTACTAGGCCATACTAGGATCTCAGGAGCTAGTATGCACCCTACCTTTTTAGTAGTTTTAAAAAATAGAATTCTAATTTCTAATCTTTTAAAATAATTTAATCTTTTAACTTCCTTATAATATATAATTATTTATGTATATTTCTGTAATCATCATCATCTTATATATAGTAGATTTTTTTAGAATAGAACTGGTGTATTATTCATATTCATTTGTTTCTATATCCAAGGCAAGTTTCTATTATAGCGTTCGGTAGTTAGCTGGTATTCAGTAAATATTATTATACAGAATTTACTGTTAAACTGGAGTTTTCTGTCCTAGTTTTTGAAAATGAAACATATGTTTTCTTAGTAATGCAAAATGACATGGATTTTTGAATTTCATACCTGGGCCAGATTCATGAGTGTATCTCTGAAGTGTCCTGAGGTTTCTGAGTAAATGTCTTCTTGAAGGTTGCTGCTGTATTCTAGTAAAACAAAACAAAACAAAATAAAAAAAACTTCCATGTTAAAGGTGAGATTTACTAAAGAATCACATATCAACATACTTTGGATAAGTTAATATTATTTCCCCAGTTGTGAGTGGGAAGCACAGGAAATACAAGCTATTGACATTCCTTTGTCACTTACTGCCTTCTACTCAGAAGAAGTCAATCTCCTAAAGATTTCACCAAAGACATGTGGACACCTAACAGTAACATAGGATAAGTCTTCTTTCTTAAAAAGCTATTATCTTTATTCCAAAATTGAAAAACAGCACGGAGAGTCATTTCAAGTTCTCTAATTCTCAAAATTTGAAATTCTGCATTCTATTTCCATAGACTGCTACCCATCCCAGCACTTTCCCCAAGTGCTTTGTCTCCTTTTAATATTTTACACGAAGGTTCTTACTTCATTCCCTTTGGGAAATTCCCATTGTTCTTGTTCAAATGCAACAGGGCTAACTGTCTAGAATAGTTTCTTGACATTCGGTGAGAGGTAATACACACTGCAAAGCCGCTTAAGGCTTTAAACTTTTTTGAAAATGAAGATAGTTAACTTTTCTACTTTTAAAATATGTAAAAATCAGATTTTAAGATAGATCACAGTGATTAGGAGATTTAAAGTGAAGTAGTTACCCATATTTGTCGAATTTGCTGAGCGGTTATTGTCCTTTGCTCTGTTTTTTCTATATTACCTGGTCTCTCCTGGGTCAGAAATAAAATGCTCCTGAAGCTCGGTGCTGCTAATTTGCCTACATTAATATAAACACTCACCTCATAGAAACTTGCAATTACTTTCCTGGAAACTTTGCTTAACTTGATTGTCTAGAGAATTGTTTCAGTTTTGATAACCTAATCATCAATTTAACTTACTGAGTTAATTGGTCTCGAGTGAGTGATATTTCAAACATAAAAGTGTCTTAGAAAAAATTTAAAAACACATAAACTGAAATATTTTGTGTGTTATTTGAAAAATATAAAGTTTATATGTGTGTAAAATATTTTGTGTGTTATTTGAGAAATATGAAGTTTATATGTGTGTAAAATATAGTTTCTTACGCAAACAGTAGGCTTCTCGCATTTGGAAAATTTCTCCATTTGTTCTTGAAGCTAAAATATCAATGAGACAATTTTCTTCAGTGCCTGCTCCCTGTAATACAAAGAAATGGAGAAATATAAAGGCAGTTGTGCTGGGAATAATAGTGCATCTTACATATAATAAGGATTTACAACATTCCTGGTATTCTGAGAGGCGACAGAAGAGAAAGAAAATGTATTTGGGATAAAGATAGTCCCAGTTTAGTTCTGGCTCTGCTATTTACTAGTCACTTGAACCTCGGAAGATACTATTTTCTTTCTTTCTTTTTCTTTTTCTTTTTCTTTCTTTTTTTTTTTTTTTTAAAGATTTTGTTTATTTGCTTGACAGACAGAGATCACAAGTAGGCAGAGAGAGAGGGGGATGCAGGCTCCCTGTTCAGCAGAGAGCCTGAGGCAGAACTCTACCCCAGGACCCTAAGATCATGACCTGAGCCAAAGGCAGAGGCTTAACCCACTGAGCCACCCAGGCGCCCTGATACTATTTACTAAAACTCTGTTCCTTCATTTAGAATAAAACAACATGGACATTTCTAAATAAAATGGTAAAAGATATTTGAATAAGGCTCATGACGCTCATCTTTTTTTTTTTTTCCTTCTGCTAGAATATTAGTCTTTGGAAAATTGAAATTAGAATCAGGGTCTCCGAGTTTTCTAAAGATATTTCAGGGCCCGCTCCCTGCCTCTCCCTAAATGTGAATTTTTTAATATTAACATATAATGTATTATTTGCCCCAGGGGTACAGGCCTGTGAATTATCAGTCTTACAGATTTCATAGCACTCACTATAGCACATACCCTCCCCAATGTCCATAACCCAGACACCCTATCCCTACCCCCCACCCCCCAGCAACCCTCAGTTTGTTTCATGAGATTAAGAGTCTCTTATGGTTTGTCTCCCTCCCGACCCCATCTTGTTCCATTTTTTTCTCTCCCTACCCCCCATGAACACCCGCCCTGCTACTTAAATTCCTTGTATCAGAGAGATCATATGTTAATTGTCTCTCTCTTATTGACTCATTTCACTTAGCATAATGCCCTCTAGCTCCATCCATGTCATTGCAAATGGAAAGATTCCATTTTTTGATGGCTGCATAGTGTTCCTGTGTGTGTGTGTGTGTGTGTGTGTGTGTGTCTCACATCTTCTTTATGCATTCTTCTGTTGATGGACATCTAGTCTCTTTCCATAGTTTGGCTATTGCGGACATTGCTGCTATAAACATTGGGATGCATGTGCCCCTTTGGATCACTACATTTGTATTTTTAGAGTAAATACCTGGTAGTGTGATTGCTGGGTTGTAGGGTAGCTCTATATTCAACTTTTTGAGGAACCTCCATACTGTTTTCCAGAGTGGCTGCACCAGCTTGCATTCTCACCAACGGTGTAGGAGAGTTCTCCTTTCTCCACATCATCACCAACATTTGTCCTCTCCTGACTTGTTAATTTTAGCCGTTCTGACTGGTGTGAAGTGGTATCTCACTATGATTTTGATTTGCATTTCCCTGATGCTGAGTGATGTTGAGCACTTTTTAATGTGTCTGTTGGCCATCTGGATGTCTTCTTTGCAGAAATGTATATCCATGTCTTCTGCACATTTTGTGATTGGATTATTTGTTCTGTGGGTGTTGAGTTTGATAAGGTCTTTATAGATTTTGGATACTAGCCCTTTATCTGATGTGTCATTTGCAAATATCTTCTCCCATTCTTTCAGTTGTCTTTTGGTTCTGTTGACCATTTCCTCTGCTGTGTGAAAGCTTTTCGTCTTGATGAAATCCCAATAGTTCATTTTTGCCCTTGCTTTCCTTGTCTTTGGTCATGTTTCTAAGAAGAAGTTGCTGAGGCTGAGGTCGAAGAGGTTGCTGCCTGTGTTCTCCTCAAGGAATTTGATGGATTCCTGTTTCATATGGAGTTCTTTCATCCATTTTGAGTCTCTTTTTGTGTGGTGTAAGGAAATGGTCCAGTTTCATTCTTCGGCGCGTGGCTGTCCAATGTTCCCAACATCATTTGTTGAAGAGACTGTCTTTTTTCCATTGGAGATTCTTTCCTGCATCGTTGAAGATTAGTTGACCATAGACCTGAGGGTCCATTTCTGGGTTCTCTATTCTGTTCCATTGATCTATGTGTCTGTTTTTCTGCCATATACTGTTTTGATGATTACAGCTTTGTAATAGAGGTTGAGGTGGAATTGTGATGCTGCCAACTTTTGTTTTCTTTTTCAATATTCCTCTGGCTCTTTGGGGTCTTTTCTGGTTCCATATAAATTTTAGGATTACTTGTTCCATTTCTTTGAAGAAAAATGATGTTATTTTGATAAAGATTGCATTAAATGTGTAGATTGTTTTAGGTAGCATAAACATTTTCACAATATTTGTTCTTCCAATCCAGGAGCATGGAACGTTTTTCCATTTCTTTGTGTCTTCCTCAATTTTTTTCATGAGTACTTTAGTTTTCTGAGTACAGATTCTTTGCCTCTTTGGTTAAGTTTATTCCTATGTATCTTATGGTTTTGGGTGCAATTGTAAATGGGATTGACTCCTTAATTTCTTTCTTCTGTCTTGCTTTTGGTATATTGAAATTAAACTGATTTTTGTGCATTGATTTTATATCCTGACACTTCACTGAGTTTATGTATGAGTTCTAGCAGTTTTGACATGGAGTCTTTTGGGTTTTCCACATAAAGTATCATATCATCTGCAAAGAGTGAGAGTTTGACTTCTTCCTTGCCGATTTGGATGCCTTTTATTTCTTTTTGTTGTCTGATGGCTGAGGCTAGGACTTCTAGTACTATGTTGAATAGCAGTGATCATAGTGGATAGCCCTGCCGTGTTCCTGACCTTAGGGGAAAAGCTCTCAGTTTTTCCACTGAGAATGATATTCGTTGTGGGTTTTTCATAGATGGCTTTGATGATATTGAGGTATGTGCCCTCTATCCCTACACTCTGAAGAGTTTTGATCAAGAAAGGATGCAATGGGGCGCCTGGGTGGCTCAGTGGGTTAAAGCCTATGCCTTTGGCTCAGGTCATGATCCCGGGGTCCTCGGATCGAGCCCCACATTGGTCTCTCTGCTCAGCAGGGAGCCTGTTTCCTCCTTTCTCTCTCTCTGCCTGCCTCTCTGCCTACTTGTGATCTCTGTCTGTCAAAAAAATAAATAAAAAATCTTTAAAAAAAAAAAAAAGGATGCTTTACTTTGTCAAATGCTTTTTCTGCATCTATTGAGAGTATCATATTGTTCTTGTTTTTCTTTTATTAATGTATTGTATCACATTGATTATTTTGCAGATGTTGAACCAAACTTGCAGCCCAGGAATAAATCCCACTAGGTCATGGTGAATAATCCTTTTAATGTACTGTTGGATGCTATTGGCTAGTATTTTGGTGAGAATTTTTGCATCCATGTTCAACAAGTATATTTGTCTGTAATTCTCCTTTTTGATGGGGTCTTTGTCTGGTTTTAGGATCAAGGTAATGCTGGCCTCATAAAATGATTTTGGAAGTTTACCTTCCATTTCTATTTTTTGGAAGAGTTTCAGGAGAATAGGAATTAATTCTTCTTTAAATGTCTGGGTCAAGATGGCGGACTCTGGGTCAAGATGGCAGAGAAGTAGCAGGCTGAGGACTCTGGGTCAAGATGGCGGAGAAGTAGCAGGCTGAGACTACTTCAGGTAGCGGGAGATCAGCTAGATAGCTTATCTAAAGATTGCAAACACCTACAAATCCAACGGGAGATCGAAGGGAAGAAGAACAGCAACTCTAGAAACAGAAAATCAACCACTTTCTGAAAGGTAGGACTGGCGGAGAAGTGAATCCAAAGCGATGGGAAGATAGACCGCGGGGGGAGGGGCCGGCTCCCGGCAAGCGGCGGAGCAATGGAGCACAAAATCGGGACTTTTAAAAGTCTGTTCCGCTGAGGGACATTGCTCCAGAGGCTTAACCGGGGTGAAGCCCACGCAGGGTCAGCGTGGCCTCAGGTCCCGCAGGGTCACAGAAGGATCGGGGGTGTCTGAGTGTCGCAGAGCTTACAGGTATTAGAACAGGGAAGCCGGCTACAGAGACAGAGCCGAGGAGTGAGCTCTAAGCTCAGGGTTACCTTGAACCGGTCGCAGGCTCGGTCAGCTCGGAGCGCGGCCAGAGGCAGGGTGACAGGAGTAAATCAGCGCTGTTCTCTGAGGGCACACTGAGGAGTGGGGCCCCGGGCTCTCGGCTCCTCCAGGCCGGAGACCGGGAGGCCACCATCTTCATTCCCGTCCTCCGGAACTCTACGGAAAGCGCTCAGGGAACAAAAGCTCCCGAAAGCAAACCCGAGCGGATTACTCAGCCCGGCCCCTGGTAAGGGCGGTGCAACTCCGCCCGGGGCAAAGACACTTGAGAATCACTACAACCGGCCCCTCCCCCAGAAGATCAACAAGAAGCCCAACCAGGACCAAGTTCACCTACCAAGGAGTGCAGTTTCAATACCAAGGAGAGCAGCGGAATTCCAAAGGAGGAGAAAGCAAAGCACGGAACTCATGGCTTTCTCCCCATGATTCTTTAGCCTTGCAGTTAATTTAATTTTTTTTCTTTTCCAATTTATTTTTCTTCTTCTGCTAAATTTTTTTAACTTTTACCCTTTCCTTTTTTAACGTTTTTAAACTAGTTTATCTAATATATATATATATATTTTTTCCTTTTTATATTTTTTATTTATTGGTTTTCTTTTTTTAATTGTTTCTTTTTTTTTCTTTTTTTTTCTTTTTTCTTCTTTCTGAACCTCTTTTTATCCCCTTTCTCCCCCCTCACGATTTGGGATCTCTTCTGATTTGGCTAAAGCATATTTTCCTGGGGTTGTTGCCACCCTTTTAGTATTTCACTTGCTCCTTCATATACTCTTATCTGGACAAAATGACAAGGCGGAAAAATTCACCACAAAAAAAGAACAAGAGGCAGTACCAAAGGCTAGGGACCTAATCAATACAGACGTTGGTAATATGTCAGATCTAGAGTTCAGAATGACGATTCTCAAGGTTCTAGCCGGGCTCGAAAAAGGCATGGAAGATATTAGAGAAACCCTCTCCAGA